TTTCCCATTCTGAGCAATCCCATTTGCCCTTCCTTCTGTCATCAGTGGCTGTTTTTGCTTCTTGCAAAGGATGAAATTTCTCACTCCTACTAATCCTATCGAGTCCAATGGTCCCAGAGCTGAAATATCAGTTCAGAAAAACAAAGGTTAACAATACCCTGAAATGTTTTAAAAGGTAAAGGCATAATTTTTCTTATAAAAAAGGAGAAATTAAGATTCAAGTGTCCTTGTAAAGTACCATCAATTCCAGCATTGGTTGTGTAAAGAAAGAAATCGTTGACGTTAGAACTCAGAATCGGAAGTCGGCCCTCACGAGCATATTGTTTGAGAGCAGTGTTAACGACCACAGCAACCTTATCATTCTCACTCACTACAAACCTTAACGGCCCAGCACTTCCCAACACATTTACTGTAATCAACAACCTAGTACTATTATTCTTCACCTTCTTATTCTCCTCCCCTTTCTTTATTGCCTTCTGCATGCATATCTTCTCAGAAAATGATTTCATCAACTTTCTCTCCATTTAAATCTATCAATAACACTGCAGTTATTGGACACAAGGAAGACAACGGGATAGTTTTATATGAAAATCTATCTCAAGGGTCAAGGCCAATACAACGATAGTACCAGGCTTCTTTAACAGAGCCAAAGGAGAGGAGAAACGAGTAGTAAAGAACAGTGGGCATCAAACTTTTGATGGTATCAACCATTCAAGCAGAGATGTGCTTTTGCTCACAGGCTTCTGCAAATTAAGAAAAAAAGCGCCTGAAGGGAAAAATAAGCTTCAACTACGGAACTTTTGAGAGAGAAAAAAGGAAAGATGTGCTTCTTGAAATGGACACTGGATTCTTTCTCTGTTTTCTGGGCAAATGCTACACCTCTTCTTCTGTTATGTATACAATATTAATACTAGACATCATTTGACAAGTTCATGTATTCCTACCAACTTAATGTTTACTATTTAAGAATAAAGAAAAAAAACCTATTACTAACAAACATTTGAGAATAAATACCCGGGAGAACGTGGACTCAGGGGAGATGGGTTCAATTGAATTCATTTCTAGCAGAAAATTATACTGTGCAAATAAGATATGAGAATTGTTTTTAATTATATTGTTAAATCGCCTTTAACATAAGGAAGCTTCTAATATAGGGAAGAAAGATAGTTCAAGAGTTGCTTTATGTACACTATTAATACTAGACAGCTTATGACAAGTTCATGTATTCCAACCAAATTAATGCTTAAAATTGAAGAATAAAGAGAAAAGCTATTATTGTACTAGTATATACTATATACCAATCACAGAGAATAAATACACGGAGAAGTGTGGACTCTCTGGCCGAGCCACATGGTTTGAAGGGGTTCAATTAAGTCTATTTAAGCCAGAAAATTATACTGTATAAATAAGGTAAAACTAATTTTCTTTACCTACTTATAAATTTTTAATTCTCTTGACATGAAAAAAGTTTCTAATATAGTGGAAAAGATGGTTCAAGACTTGTTTTATTATGTGGTAAGTTTAAATCGTATGTGTGACATTTCTGCATTTTTTTTAAATCCCTTGGCTCTGCCATTATCTGGAGTGCTAATTACCTCAGCCAAAATCCAAATTCATGAGAAGCAATAACAAAGGATTATTTAATGCTTTATTCACAAGAACAAGGATATATTTAATTCGTTAGATGTAACTGAATTATTCTATAAAAAATACTAAAACAATTTTACCAAGTTGACAAGTGTCCGAGAAAGAATAAATATAAACTGTTAACAACTACCAGGCATGAAGTAAGCTATACATAAACTATAATTCTTGATGAGCTCTGGCCTGTGCCCTTTCGATAGTTGTTTAGGACAGAGCCATAAACCCCTTTGTGATCGTAATAGTAGCTACTATAATATTGGGGAGGTTGAGGTTTATATTAAAGTCGTGGCTTTGATTTTTGGATTATCAAGTTTAATGTACGGCAAGAAATGGCAGAAATATGATACTTTTTGGGGCAGTCTTTAATTTTTGACCACCGCTTGTCCTATGGCTAAAATTTCAAAATCAAAAGTTAAAAGTGTTGCTTAGCAAGCAAGAGATAAAACTTGTTAAACTTAAAAGTTCCGCCCATGTAACGAGAGAACAAAAATTCAACACCATCATCCACTTTTGAGGGCTATTTGTGTACTTCAGCCATGTATGGAATACTAAGAACGCAATGGGCTAGATGTGAACTTAAACAAGTTGGACAATCTTTGGTATGAGAAACAAAATTATATATCTTTTTAGATTCCTCTGAGAAATTGAAAAGAATCCTTACAATCAGTACTATTTACAACTAAAATAATGGGAAACTATTGCAATGCATCAGTATGGACGGCCAATTAGTACTTAATTATAACTCCATGTTAGTCACCTGGATGTTGTAACGATTCGATCGGTTGTTTTGCTTTCTAGATTCATGTTTCCCTACTTAAGATTCTCTATATGTGCTTTTACTATTTTATGACCTGCGGAGATGGTTGATTTAGGTTTGGAAGGGTTCGGGGTGAAATCGGAACACTTAGTTCCTTATTAGTAGCCTATAATGGTCAAGTTTGACCTGAGCCAACATTTTGAGTAAACGACCTCGGAACCGGGATCTGACTGTCCCAATATGTTCGTATGATGATTTTAGACTTGGACGTGTATTCGGATCGGGTTTCGGATGACCCGGGAGTATTTCGGCACCTAGTATTGAAAGTTGGCACATCGAAGGTTTTCCAAGTTCTTTAAGTTTGGTTTGAAGTAGACTTCGGTGTTATCGAGGTCCGTTTGGGATTTTGAGCCTAGGAATAGTTCTGTATGGTGATTTATGACTTGCACACAAAATTTGGCGTTAATACGAGTTGATTTGATAAGAATCGGACGCGCGGAAGTGTTTTTAGAAGTTTTTGAGTGTCATAATTTGATTCATGCGTTTTAGCGTCCAATTTGTACTTCTAGATGTTATTTTGGTATTTTGATCGTGCGAGCGGGTCCGTATTATGTTGTTGGATGTGTGAGTGTAATTGAACAGGGTCCCGGGGGCCCCGGATGCAAAACAAATTAGAATCAGACTCGGAATTTGGCATAGGGGACTGCTGGTGCTTCTGATCTGGTGTGTTCGCACCTGCGTGGATTTGGTCACGGGTGCGAGCTCGCAGAAGAGAGCATGTGATCGCAGAAGCGGCCTGAGAATGGGTGTCCAGTGATCTGCAAAAGCGAAGGAGTTCTGCATAAGCAAACTCGCTTCTGCGAGGAATGGGCCGCAGATGCGAAGGGGAGGCCAGCCAGGCTTGGGTCGCAGGTGCGACAGCTTCTCCGCAGAAGCGAAAACCCGTCTGCAGAAGCGAAGAGAGGCAGTCTGGGCAAGGATCGCATCTGCAAGGATTTTTCCGTAAAAGCGAAGCCGCAGGTGCGACTATTTTGGTTGTAGGTGCAAAAATCGCTGGTGCAGTGAGGGCTTTTATTGCAAGACTTAGACCTTTTTTCGCACATTTTCATTTAGTCTTGGGAGATTTTGAGAGCATATTTGAGGGGGATTCTCATCAAGATCCTAAGGTAAGTAACTTCCATCCATTTTCAAGTTAATTATACGGATTTTAGGTACATTAAATATGGAAAGATTGTGAAAAATTATGGGATTTGTGAAGAACCTAGGGTTTTGGTAAAAATAGAATTTGACCACGAAATTGGTTATGGAATTAAGTAAACATTATATATTTGAGTTCATGAGGCTATGGGTAATATTTATCTTTAAAAATTTTCGAAATCGAGGCACGTGGGTCCCAGGGGCGAATTTTGAGAATCTTTCAATTTTGGTTGGATAATTACTCTAATAGCTAAATTATGAACTTTTGAGTATATATTGATTAAATTATATAGTACTTGATTAGATTCGGATTGTTCGGCATCGACTTTGGATTTTTAGAGCAGATTAGTGGATCGGAAGTGAGCTTGGAAACGAGGTAAGTCTCTTGCCTAACCTTGTAAGAGGGAACTCATCCCC